GGGATCCCGGGCCCCCTCCCCGAGCCCCCGGGGCCATTTGCATCGGGCGCTTCTTGGCCGCGCTTCGGCGGCATTCGCTTCCTTTCTGCCGGTTAAATTGGAAGTATTTGCTCTATTTCTCGCTTTCTCTCACATCTAAGAAGCCATCAGAGGGTGCCTTCTCCAGGACTTCATTGCCTCCCCACTCAATTCTAACAAAACTGTCAGGAGCCCTGTAGGTACAGCTGTCCCCAGTTTCCAGCTCTTGGACTCTGGGAAGGTTTTAACTCGGTGGAACAAATCTGTGCCCACACGGGGAAGTGCCCTGCAGCAGCAGCTGTCCCTGAGCTAAACATGCAAATGTCACCGCACTGCTTTTCTAGCAGAAGTTAATGCTTTCCTGCAGAAACTTCCTTCTGCTTTCACTAAAGATTTAATCTGAAAATCAGTTCCTATATTGAGAGTATAAATTGAAAGTCTGTACTGATACTGAAAGTATAAACTTATTATCGGAGTTTATGTCTTGGTGGCCTCCTTTCCAGTAACTCCCTTAACAGGGTGTTTGTTTTGCTTGGAGCCCACACAACCCTGGCAGGTGTGCCAGCTAATAAAGCCCAAGGAGGAGTTTTTTAATAGGTTTGTTTTGCTATTAAAGAGGGAACAACTTCCCGACCAGCCTTGTCCTCTTGTTCCTGTTTCATATGAATCAATGGATTTTTTATGTTGTTGGCATTCCCTGTTTGCATGTGTTGGCCCCACAGCTCCAAATCCCGAGTGGAATTTGGAGTAATCCGGGTTGTACTGAGCAGGATAAACAGCTTGGGGTGTTTTGTGCTTCCAGGGGCGAAGCTGAGCGTGGAGCAGCGTTGGGAGGTGTGGGTGGGGAGCTGGCAGTGACCTTTGGCTGTGCAGGTGAGGGCTGTGGGGCTCAGGTGTGGTGTCTGGGCAGGTTCCTGTCACACACCTGTGCCACAGAGTCTGGGGTGCCCTGGCAGCCGGGGCATGCACGGGCTGGGGGCAGTCTGGTTCCATTCAAATGCAGACACTGCTGTCATTGGTTTTCATTAAAAGCTCTATAAATGACACCGAGTCATTTGGTATTCATTAATTGTGACTATTTCATGTTGCTCACCTGCTCACATTCCACGTGCAGGACCTTATTTTGTTTCCCAGAGTAAAACCCTGTAGTAGGGATGGCCTTTAACAGGCCTTTCAAATCTGCTTTGAGAAGCACTGCAGGACTCATGGAAGTCATGGCAGACACTCAGCAGGATCTTACAGGCAGTGTTATATGTTCTGTTGAGTTAGTGAACTCGTTTATTAGTTTTTTGCGCAGGGACTGAATGAGGAGACGAGTCCTGCCTCAGGAGGATCCCTGTGGTTGTGTGCAGAGCTGGTGGCTCGGTGTTCCAAGGCCCTGGATCCTGGGGGACCCTGCAGGGAAGGAGCTGCTCCCCAGGAGAAGCAGCGTTGGGAGGCGTTTGGGATCTGTGTCACATCCCCTGGGGCTGGTCCCTGCCTGGCTGCTGCTTCTCCTGCTCTGCTTTTCCCTCCCTCAGAGGTTCCTGGGGTGTGGGAGAGCAGCCTCCTTACCCTGAGCTCAGCAGGGCTGAGTGGGGCTGTTTGATTGAGGAGTGACACTGCCCTTCTTCCAGCCAGCTTCCAGGGCTGCCATCCTGGGCCTTGGACCCCAAATAGCAGACCTGGCATCAGGGAAGTAACACCTTAATATGGGAAATAAGGAAAGATGGGCAAGAGCTCCAGCAAAACCGAGGAATGGCGTTTATGAGAAGCCTGTGAGTCCACAGATGGAATTTATGGAGTTAGGAAATACATGTAGGAAACTAATTAAAGAGGGGATTAGCTCAGTGGAACAGGATTCCACAATAATTAATAGATGTGTTAAATATTTTGCAGCAATTATCTCATGTCTGTTCTTGGCTGCCTTAAGTGTTCAATCTGCTGCTGAGGATTTTATGTTTCATATATTGGACAGATTTGTTGTCAGTACTGCTGAGGGGAGCAGCACAAGCTCTGGGAAACCTAAAAAGTGAAATATCAGAGCTTGGGCCAGGTGACTGAGACACAGCCTGGCACTGGAGATGGCATCACAATGTTCTCAGGGCAGCCTTAGCTGGAGGAGTGAACTGGGAGTGCCAGTGTGTGTTGGTGCTGATGGCATCCTCAAGGCTTTCACATCCAGTCAGGATAATTCCCAAAAAGCAGGGCTGGGACCTGCAGGTGAGCAGGGGCAGGGCTGGCCAGGAAATCATTAGTTCCACACGAGCTGAATGAATGCATTGCTATGAAGTGGCATCTTACCCACAACAGGCACAGGGCTGATCACCCAGGGGAACGAGCTCAGAGCTGACTTGATCTTGAGCTGTGTCCTGAATCCAGCTGCAAACAGCTGGGAAGTTGTAGTTAGGCTGAAAAAAAATTAGCTGGGGAGGGAATGGAGAAGAAGAACTTCATGAATTTCAGGTGGCCTGTGATTCCATAGGGGCCATATGCTGGGATTGCTTTTCATGGGATTTCTGTCCTAATTCCTCTAAA